GCGAATAAGCGACACACGGCGTCCTTTGGCACGGGCCAAAGCGACCACTACATTCTCGAATCGGTGCGAGACAATCCCAGCGTGCGGGATTCCTGGCATGGCGGTGATTTTGCATCGTGCGAGTCGCAGACGAGTGATACCACGGCGTTGCAGGTGGCGCACCAGGCAAATCTCCAGTATTCGACGCGGATATGGACGGGAGAGGACTAGCCTCGACTGTCCAGAGTATTTCGTGTTTATCAGCCGCCTAGACTTCTTAGCAATGCATTATTGTAAGCATGTTGATGTCTTTTTTGTTGGTTTCTGATGAGACTTGCCTTGATCTCATCTCCACCTGGTCTTCCACGCCCTCTAAAGCTGGTGAGGCCAGGCTCGGTATTTGTAGTCCTCTGGGCCTCCACCACCAGGAAACATGTACCATTGCGTCCTCAAATTGGTGTGGATAATGTGCATGTTTCCTGCTTCGTCGCGAGCTCAAGACCCACTGGCTTTGCTTTGGCGGTCAGTTCACACAAATGACTCGCTTTTCAAGCCTTGTGCAGGTGATGATCCGGGAATAGAGTTGTCGGTTGGTGAGTTCCCAAGGTAACACTCGGTGTGATTCCGGGCACACCGTTGTTTTCGGCTCACTGACGTGCCAGCGAGTGGAAAGTGTACACCACGGAAGCGCCGCGCACCCGATCGATAAACGAAGCTGGGAGATCAAGCGATACTTCTCACCACTGAAGAAGATTGCAAGCAGCGACGTTGTGTGAAGAGTTTGACTTTGCTCAAGAACTGCTGCAGTAGCAAGTGCTCATGTATAGCTGGCATTGGTACTCACGATACTGAGACGACAATCCCCTCTTGCAGCGACTTTTGAGACTTGAGGGGTATCCTCTCGCTTGTCACCTGGAAGCATCAAGCACGTTCGTTCGTCCCTTTCCATGCCCAAACCGATTGCTATTCATGAGAGGGAGCACCGCGCCAGGATCTTGTACCCATTGATTTCTTTTTTTTTCTTCTTTTTTTTTTCCCCCGAACAGAACGAACTTTCTTTGACATTTGTGTAACTGGAACAAAGCAGACACGAAAATCCAATATTCCTGCTTCTTTTTCCTTTTCTCCTTCATTTGTCCCGTCCCTGCAAAGTCTCTGCTTTGCCCGCTCACTTTCTTTGATACCGAATCATACGGTGAGAGGGCCAAACTGTCTCAGACACTGTCCCTGAGCAGGCAGTTTCAGCGTGTCCTGGGCTTCCTTCGAGCACAGCCAGCCGGCACTGGAGGCTGCTTGCTATAGGACAAGGCAAGCACTTATACTTGACATTGATGGGTCGGCTGGGATAAGCTTACTTGCGGCTCTCCACAAAAGCTTGATTGGTGAGCCGCTGTGGATGACAGACTCGGTAGATATGCTCGAATGGATTTCTTCTTGTTGGTCAGTCATTACTGGCTGATTCAGACAGAGAGAATAGCTTGTCCTCGATGCGAGACGTTGGGCTGTACGAGGAGTCGAGCTCGCTGCATTGTGTCGAGCTCTCTGCATTGTGTCTCTGAGTGTCTGGCTGCGTGGTGAGCTACCCAGCCGCGTTTGCAGCAGATGTTACCGTACCGTTCCATACAGCATTTTGCCATGTTGTTGTGTGGTTGGGGGCGGATCTTTTGCAGAAACAAGGACGGGGAGATGGCGATGGTCGCTGTGACGGGCGCTTTCGGCAGGCGGTGTAGATTTTGTGCCGCCTTTGCACTGTCGATCCACGTGGGCGGTCTGCCCCAGGCTTTCCGCGCCCGTCCAATAGCTGCCCCCACAGGGCCTGATTCGGCGATTCAGTGGCAGCTGGGCAGCCCCCCGGGGGCCTAGCAACGCCCAATAGGTCTGCGAACATCCCCTGTTGCACTTTGATTGCGGACAATTTTGGCACTGCTGCTTCTGGAGCTGGGCCCTCGCCCTCTGCTGATGACGTGCAGTTTCGCTTTGATTTGTCTCTGTAGTCTGCATATCCAAACTGCTTCTCAGCTTCTGCGCCTCCTATTCGGGTCCTGTTGCTTGGATCTCTTCCGTTGGACTTTTTTGGTCTCTGCCAAGTCTGAAACCGGCTTCCAACCGAGTTCTGCCACCGATCAAATTGACTGGCTGCCGGCCTCGACGAGCTCCTCGCTTGCTTGTGACAGCCCTTCCTCCGCGACCCAAAAAGCGCCCTAGACCACCAGCAACGCCTGCTTGAATCCTCAGAAACACACAGCAAAGTCGAGCGCAGCTAGCAGTCATGTCTGCGATCAAGGACAACCAACGCGACTCTGGGGAGGAGGACAGGAAGCTCGAGGGCGGCGTTCTCAGACAAGAGTCTGGGCCACCAGCCCCAGCCAAGGACGGCCTCCACCCAGCCGTCTACATTGGGTGCGTCTCTGCCATCTAGTCTCGTCGCGCGAGCTGCGCAAAAGCGCGGCCAGCAGGACGGCGTACTGACCACAGCAATGCAGAGTATGGATTGCCTGCTCCTCTGGTGTCATCATCTTCAACAAGTGGGTGCTTGCGACGGCCAAGTTCAGTAAGTAGGGCCGCTGCCTTCTTGTTGTCACGGGGGATTGACTGCTAACGACATCTGCTGCTGAACAGACTTTCGTGAGTCCTGATCTGCAACACACATGTGTTTATGGATCCCTCGAAATTCGACTGACAGAGCGACAGCCCTCTTCCTGACCACATGGCACATGTTTTTTGCGACCGTCATGACCCAGATCATGGCTAAATTCACAACGACACTTGATTCGCGACACAAGGTTCCCATGACGACCCAGACCTACATGTGAGTAGTGGCAGACGCGATTTGAGGCTCGTGGGAGCGGCACAAGGCGCGGAGAAACGAGATGGTACTGACGAATACCATCGATAGACGCGCAATTGTCCCCATCGGAATCATGTTCAGCTTGAGTCTGATTTGTGGAAACGTTGCGTATCTCTACCTCTCTGTTTCCTTCATCCAAATGCTCAAGGCAAGTGGCTTCTTCCTGGTCGTCTCAACGGGGAAGAAACATCTTTCTAACAAACAGTTCCGTTGCAGGCCACCAATGCTGTTGTGACCCTCTTCGCGACTTGGGCCTTTGGAATTGCCCCTCCTAACATGAAGGTGCTTGGCAATGTTGGCATTATTGTGCTGGGCGTGGTCATTGCCTCGTTTGGCGAGATCAAGTTCGATCTGGTTGGCTTTGTTTGTATGTGGTGCCGCCCGTATGCGACTAGTCGGGCTGGAGCTAACACGAAACAACAGACCAGTGCAGTGGTATCGTGTTTGAGGCTCTTCGTCTCGTCATGATTCAGCGAATGCTGAGCTCTGCCGAGTTCAAGATGGACCCCTTGGTCTCTCTTTACTACTACGCACCTGCTTGCGCGCTCATCAACGGTGTCGTCACCCTGGTTGTCGAGGCTCCGCGCATGACCATGGGTGACATCTACAATGTTGGGCTGTTCACCTTGGTCGCCAACGCCTTTGTTGCGTTCCTGCTCAACGTTTCCGTTGTGTTCCTGGTACGTGTGACGGCTCCAAAACCTGCTATTTGCGCTTTGCCTGCTGACACCCATCACTACAGATTGGCAAGACATCCGCCGTTGTGCTTACCATGTCCGGAATTCTCAAGGACATCCTCCTTGTCTGCGCCTCGCTCGTCATTTTCCACGACCCCGTTACGCTGCAGCAATACTTTGGCTACTCCATTGCCCTGGGTGGTCTCTGTTACTACAAGCTTGGCGCAGAAAAGCTGCAGTCTGCTCTCACCGATGCGCGCCTGCACTTCGGCTCGATGCGCCACAACCACCCGGCCCGCGCAAAGGGTGCTGCTGGATTCTTGGTATTTGGAGGAATTCTGTTTGCGGCTTACCTCTTTTGGCCCAGCTTGCATATACCTCCGGTCGTCATCACCCCGTCTGGCTAAGAAGTCGAAGCTTTTGATGTGCTATTGATGGTTAGTGGCATGCCCGCGTGTGTAAGTGAACCAGAATACTGGAAGGATCTTGGCTTGGAGAGAGTGCCAAAGTGCATTTTGGGACAACGGAACGGAATGAAGAAGCGAAGTCATGGCGCGGAAAACCGGGTTGGTCTATGTTGGACAGCCAATGTTCATCCAGAGACGACGTTCGCACAACCAAAAGCACACCTATGTCGTGGGGAAAGAGCTGTTGAGTTATTGCATTTCTTGGATCTCAAAAGGATTGGTAGATGTGATGATATTGGACCATTCACATGAGCGTGTACTTGGATATGGCGGTTTCAGAGTTCAGCGCCTGATGAAGGCTTGCCGAGAAAGAAGGTGAGCGACATGTGGCCTCCCCATTTGCCTCAATTCGCTCTGTTTCCAGCCATGGTAGGCTGAAAGCGGCACTCTGTGACGAGGCAGGGACATCTCTTTGGGGCATTGGCTCTCGTTGTAACATTATTGCGTGTATAGACTTTCTCTGCCTTCGAGTCGTACTGTGCTCTTGAAGTTTTTGCATTGAAACATGAATCTTGTCGAGGTGTAGTTGAGCCCGCTGTGAATACTGGGCAATGTAGATCTGGGTCACTGACGAGAAGGTAAGATAGTCCAAGTCAACTCGGTCTCTCTATACACGCTGTGTACAATAAATACATATGTATCCAGGTTCGAGGGCCAATTTGCACCACATGTGAATATGAACACAGATCGTCACGTATGTACTCTTACGTTCGAAGCATATAGCGAGTCCAGCTGTATGTACAGTCAACATAGAGACGATACTTGATGCCCTTTTCAGGCCTGGCTCAGCACATTCGTGACAACATGCGATACCTGTTTTGATATGGTCATTTGAGGTCGAGGGGCATCCATCGCACTTACGCACAAGACCCTTGATCAATATCCGACTTGCATATATCAGCAGGTCTTTCGCAGGCCTGGTATGACCATCTCGCACACCAATTCATTCCTCCCTCACGAGAATGGCACCAGCAGGCACAAAAGAAGACTGTATAGACAGCCTTGTTTTTCCAAACTTCCAACTCATCAGGCCCTATGGCCTAATGGTAAGGCGTCAGATTTCGGTTACATGTATCCTCTGAAGATTGTGGGTTCGAATCCTACTGGGGTCGTCCTTTTGGCTTTCGTTTGTATTCCTTTTGCTTTTTGAGCGTCGTACAGATAGGGCCTGGCGAGGAAGATGTCTGAAGACTTGTTTGCGGAGTGTAGGTATCGCAATGCTGTTGGGGTGACCAGGAGGCTTGATTGGGACTGCGCGCGCTCTCATGTGACGGCGCGTTCTTGGCCGTGGCAAGCTTGACGCGGGCGGCTAGCTTGCGGCTCGGTTCTTTCCTTTTGCAGGGAACATTCCTGCCCTTCAAGGTTGCAGTGATCCATGGTTCCATCAAGACAGGTACAAAGGTACTTGGTGGCTTCCCAAGTCTGTGACGACTTCACGGCCTCGACATACTACGCTTTCACCTTCCAATTCACCTGGCTGTCTTTTACTTCGTCCTTCAACCAATCAGTGACGACACGCTTCGGTTTCCAAGGTACACAGAGAGCTCACGCTGCCCCGGCCCATCCAACATGCCTCTCCGAACATCTCCGCGCAAGAGGACCGTCGCAGCAGCAGTCGTCAAAGCCGAAGAGACTGTCCGCACAGCCACGACAAAGGCCCAAAAGGCCACCAGGACAAAAGCCGCCCCAGTAGAGGCTGCTGCGCCAGCGAGGAAGCGCAAGAGAGTCGCGGGACCCAAGGCCAAGGACGAGGACGAAGAGCACAAGTGCGACAGCCATGATGAGGGCGAGGAGCCACAGGAGGTCAAGACCAAGGCGGCCCCCAAGAAGCGCAAGACGCAAAAGGAAAAGGAGGACGACGCGGTGCCTCTTGCGGAGCGGACTGCTGTTGGTTCGCTCAAGAAGGCAATGTACATTGGCGCACATGTCAGCGCTGCTGGGGGTATGTCGAGGGCAATCCAAGTTGTTCGACACGCCACTTATCGCTTCGTCTAACTCTATTCCTACACATAGGCGTCCAAAATTCCATTTCCAATGCCGTTCATGTTGGCGGCAACGCCTTCGCCCTCTTCCTCAAGTCCCAGCGCAAATGGTCCTCGCCACCACTCGACCCAGTCGCCCGCGATGCCTTCCACACTGCGGCCAAAGAGAACGCATACGCTGCAGGCCAGCACGTCCTCCCACACGGATCCTACCTCGTCAATCTCGCACAAGCCGACGCCGAGAAAGCCACCCAGGCCTATGACAACTTTGTCGACGACCTCAAGCGCTGCGACGCGCTGGGCATCAAGCTCTACAACTTCCACCCGGGCTCCACAGGCGGCGCCTCGATGGCCTCCGCCACAGCGCGCATCGCTGCGCAGCTCAACAAATCTCACAAGGCGACCAAGACCGTCATCACAGTGCTGGAGAATATGTGCGGACACGGCAACATTATTGGCGGCAAGTTCGAAGACCTGCGTGACATTATCGCCGGCGTCGAGGACAAGGAGCGCGTGGGCGTGTGCATCGACACGTGCCACGGCTTTGCCGCTGGCTATGACCTGCGCAGCCCAGAGGCCTTTCAAGCGACCATGGCAGAGTTTGACCGCATTGTTGGGCTCAAGTATCTCAAGGCACTGCACATGAACGACAGCAAGGCGCCCTTTGGCTCACACCGGGATTTGCACGCCAATATTGGCACAGGGTTCCTTGGACTGCGCGCTTTCCACAACATCATGACCTTCGATGGCTTTCAGAACATGCCCTTGGTGCTCGAAACGCCGATTGAGAAGAAGGGGGCCGACGGCAAGACGGTCGAGGACAAAAAGGTCTGGGCCGACGAGATCAAGCTGCTGGAATGGCTCATCGACGCCGACCCGGAGAGTGACGAGTTCAAGCAAAAGGAAAAGGACTTGTGGGCGTCTGGCGAGGCGGAGCGGAAGCGCGTGCAGCAGCAGGTGGATGCCAAAGCCGCAAAGGACGCCAAGAAGGGAGGCAAGAAGGGAAAGAAGGCTGCTGCGTCTACAGATGACGAGAATGACGAGTGAGTTCGTTTTTGTTTTTGTCTTCACATTCTCTTGCTTTGGGTTCTGTCTATGTTGCGCTGGGTGTTGGGAGTTTAGCAGGATTAGATCCGTTGTCGCGACGTTCATTGTGTACTCGTGCGTTAAGGGAAATGGGATGAAGATTCTGAAAGCTGTATACACACACGACTGTATATGCTCGTACATCACATGAAAAGACAAAACAATAACACGCCCCTCTACGTTCCACACAACAGAGACCAAAGCCACGAAAACGAAAAGAACTTTCTCAAGAACTGGATGGGCGCCGGCAGAGCCAAGAGAGGGTGAACGTGTTGAAAGTCAACACCAGATCCCGTACAACAAGAGACATGACGGTTTACGGAAGTGCATGAGAGATCGTTGATATTGTGGATGGGAACTTGGAGGAAAGGACAAAGAGAGATAGATGCAAACGAGACGAAAATGAGATACCATAACATCAATCATACCATCATCACATCATCCGTGCTATTCTACATGCTATTCCGCTACCAAAGTCCCAGAGGCTAGGGCTATTGCGTGTCGCAACTCATATTTTCATATCTTCACATTCATATCATGCAGCTCAACGCCACAACATTGAAAGCACAGATGCATAGTATTCCTCCACGTGTAGACAATAATGACACCACAGCATTAGGGAAGCATTCAGCGACTTGATCACTGTCGTAACAGGAGATCGTCTGTCTGATTACACGTGCGGTGCGGTGATTACACTGTGATTGTCGTGCTTGTGATTGTGTTTGCCAAACCCTCGCTCATTTCACATGTGTTATAACTAAACCTTTACCCAAGACTGGCTAGTCCACCTTTATGCTTCCATGCTCTCAAACCTCCGATACAACCGAACAAATGAACGGATTAGCGCAAAGAAAACAATCCAATGCGTTGCCAGACCCGAATTCATCCACAGTCCCACCGAGTGAGGCAGATCAAGTACCCAACACCATCGAACGCTATCCTGGTAAACACCACACGCCTCAACATAACAAACGATAAACAACAGACAAAGGTGAATTCGTAATGGTCCCCATCATCACTTCACCTCGTATCAAACCCTCTTCGCCCGCGATGCCCCTTCCACCCTCCCCAACAAAGCTTTGAGACCCACCCCACGATCACAGTTGCCCTCCAGCCACGACTCCATTTTCCCTCTGATGGATTGTATCCTCTCATGACTCGGTGGTACGCGGTGGTTGTTGCTCTTGTCGTCATGACCATCTTCAGCACTACGTTGCAAAACAGGATTCAGCAACACCTCAAACAACTCCCCCCAAATCTCCGTCTGCCAATATCGCTTCAAAGTCTCACGAATCTTGTACCGCCTATTGTTGTTCCTACCCATGCCCGCTCGCAAACCCAACCCAAAAGTCCAGCCATCACCAAGACCCTCCCCTCTCCCTGCCGCCGCTGCCGACGTTGTCACGGTCGTCGTCTCAATATACTTACCAAACAACAAACAATGCACGATCCCCGCAAGGCCATGATAATCAAGCTGCCACGTCCACGGCCGTCCCTCACGCACTTCGGCACAGTCCTGTGCCGTCGTCTTCCAGTCTGCAATGAACTGCACCCCGGGCGCAAACGCAGCCATGTCAATGCTGCGCCCAAAGTCAATAAGTGTTACACCGCGCGCAGCCCAGCCACCGGATCCGTCGGCACGCCATTGACTTGATAGCGAGCCGCCAAAGGAGCCACCGTGGTTGCTGCCGCTGCCGCTGCCGCTGCCGCTTGACAGGAGGTCGTCAAGTCGGAGCAGACAGTTATCAGGCTTCAGGTCTCCGTGCAGAATCTGCTTCTCATGCAATGCCTCAACGGTACGCAGCAGCTCAATCGTAAAAAACATGGCCAGCGTCTCGTCCATAACGCCGCCGGCTGCTTCGGCGCGAAACATATTGATTACGTCGAGGAGGGTACCGTGCGGGTGAAAGGGCAGCACGAGGAAGCCTTCATCCTGGTAGAGGTGCATCTCAAGAGCGGTCGACAGGGAGGCTGTTGCGCGGTGCTGCGGGCCCAGACGGATGTGCGCCAGGCGCATCATGTGGAATTCCCAAGGTGTGGGTGGCAATTCCATTTTGAGTGCTTCAAGGCGTTGCCGTCGCTGAGTGTGGGTGGTTCCTGCAGCGACCAGGCTGTCGACGTCCATTGCATCGGGTTCCGCCTCCTCGGCGGGCTCGGTGCTCTCCACAAGATAGACAGGCGCAAAGGCTCCAGCGCCCAACTCTTTTTTCAGGACATATCTTGAGGCGACTTCGGGGAAATGTAGCGTGACTGAGCTGACGATATGGTGTGTCCGATCCGCGCTCGTGCTTTGTCTGCTATTCTTCAGTGATTTGAAGAACTTGCGAATCTCATTGCCTCTTTCGTATCTCTGGTGTCGATGATCGTAGAAGCCAGGGTAAGAAGTCAAGGGCGGCTGCATCTTTTCGAGGATCTCGTTGCGGACGCTGTCATCCACAGGGTTGCACTGAAGATCCTCTATCAGAGGTCTGTCGGCTGTGGCAGGCCTCGCCGGGCTCTTGGGCACGGAAACGAGATTCGGTATCGAAAGAAGGGGGAATTTCTTCATGGGAGCATCCTCATTTACCACTTCCCTTAAAGGACTGCTCAGAATATCAAAGGTGAGATTTGTAGTATCCTCTCGCATGCTGGTTCTCTTGCTAGGAGTCTTTGCAGGGCCAAAGCGGTCATATGGTTTGACCGAGTCGATATTCAGTGAGAATTCGGTCCTCTCGGTGATGGGCGTCATAAAGGGCAGACGGTTATTAGCCACTTCTGCTGGATCCCTATATGGTCTTGGGTTGGGAATGTAATCCTCTGGTGGTATAGGCACAAATGTCGTCTGCATTCTGGGCGACGATAAGACTTCGTCCAGGTGGGTAATGGTCATACCTCCCTCCTGATTGTCGAGTCCGGGCCCTGTGATAGTGAGCTCTGCAAACTGCACAGAAGGGTCTGCTTCCCTAAGGTTGAGCACATCCGACATGACAGTCTGGTCATCTTCCTCTTGTTGGCCATTTATATCAGGGATATGCTTCCTTGTCGAGAATTCTGACCATTCACTC